TTTCCTACAGTTTTAAATCTCACCCTTGACATCTATTTGGTGTGGGAAATGCTATGCACCTTCATTCTGCGTGGGCCCAGATTTAAAAGCCTGACAGGTGCCCAGAGCCAGGGCTCCTGAAGAGCCTGTCATGCAACAGTCCTCCCCTGGGCACTCAGAAATGAGGGGCCAGTTTTGCCTGGCAAGCTGAGCACCCAGCAGCTCCCAGTGAGAGCCATGGTTGCTGCCACTGACTGCCGATTCCTTTTTGCAGTCCTCACCACTTTAGCTGCATGAATGAATGGTGAGCTCGTCTGAAAAATCTGGTCATCCTTGCTTGGTGCTGAGCATTTTTGAAAGCTGGGTTCTTTGAATTTAAAAACAAAACCAAAAGAAAACCTTCCTCCCCATCACCAACCCCAATTGATAAGAAATTAGGGTGGAGCAAAAGCAATTACCCCTGTAATGACTCTTGACAGCACTGACAGGATCGAACAATGAGCACTTCTCCCCCTCGCACCCCCCCAGCTGGAGATTGGCAGTGCCCTGGGTGAAACCTGGATCCACTATTGAGTAATCAAATAATGTGCTTGCATCTGAACATGTTATCCAGCTAATCCTATTTATATATATTTTTTAAAGAGGCTTAAGAAAATTACCCATATTTTTAATGCAGCACTGAGGTTCTCTGCTCTGATAAGGAAACATTTTGTAATACAATAAAGGCTCTAGGAAGCCTCTGGGTACACCAGACCAGCAGAGAACATGCGTGGAGAGAGGATGTGTGGGACATAAATAAGGGACCCCATCCTTTTATGGGAAGGAAATTTGATCATTTTCACATCCTGCCTTTCCAAGAGCTTCATCTCCTTGAGTGCTCTTCTCCGCTTGTCTCCCCTCTTCCTGTCTCCCTTCCCCCACGGAGGGCTTCCTCTTGGATTATCTTTTGTTTTATCCCTGGATTATCCTTTGTTTGTTCAGAATGAGGGACAGAATAAGCCAAGTAGGGACCTCTGGAGTTCTGCCTTATATATATGTATAAACTGTTCTCCTTCACAGAGGTGCTATGTTCCCTGTTCTAAATGTAAGGCATTGCCTTTCTCTTTTCTTTCATCTGAAGAACAAACTAACCATCCTGGCCCCACAAACACACACAGGCACACACACATCCACACAAAGCCCCAGGGTTTCTGTGTCAGGACAGACAATGTTTTTAGCAGAGATCTAAAGAAACACAGTCAGTATTTTCAACTCTTCAGTCTCTTTCAGCCCTTTGTTAAGTATTCATTCTTCTCCCTCTACATATGATCCCTTCCTACCTAGGTTTTTTCTTTGGCAGCCAACTCAGTCACTGCAGTCAAGAGATATATTCCTGCAATCATCTAATGCATTTTCTGCTATTCAGCTGAATCTGTAGATGAAAGAAAAATATTTATTAGTAAGTTAAGAGTGCTGGGGACTGTGCACTGTTAAACTCCGTGCACATGCCATCTGTGTGTGGAGGTAGGAGACAGATTTGTCTTTACCCTCCTAGTCAGTTTTTGCAAGCTCATAGAGTGATGGTGCCTGCTCTTCTTTTGGCCCACTCTGCCATGCCACTATTTTTCCTTCTTTTCTCATTCACAAATCTCTCTACTACTAGCTATTGCAGATGTCACTTCAAGCAAGCACTGAAACACGTGCCTAAATCTGTCCTTAGCTGTTTAAGGCAGACTTTTAATGTTAAAGATGCTCCTTCCTGAGACAGGGTTCCCAGCTGGAGAACAGTTTCTCCATATTTGAACTGCTACCCTTTATTGCACCCACCATTATTGACAGGAGTTGTAGTCACTCCCTCAGACATCCTGGCTTGCTAAACTTTAAGGAGTCTTTTGGAGCTACTTTTAACAACACTGTCGTAGTGCAAAACATATGCCTGTTGTTGTTCAGAGGTGAAGGCCATACCTTGGCAATCAGAGCACGAAAGTGGTAATTCAAATAGCAAAGAAAGGGAATGTTGTGCACATGGTCTGGCTGCAGTTCCCTTCCCAGGCTCTTTTTCAGATGTGTTTGTGCCTCTGACCTTCTGGACAACATCAAAGGGGTATTAATGTCCTCTGTGTACAGGTCAATTTTAAAACAAAAGAGATAAGAAGGCATGATTCTCTCCTCCTGCTGTCCCAGCCCCATCGCAACACCATGCAGCCCACAGATCACATTGCTAGTTATAGCTGGCAAACTACCACTGGTTTGAGTAGCACCATATGTACTGCAAATGGTGTGTGCTTTGGTGGCAGCAGGGGAGAAAGGAGAATCAGCTAAAGTGGTGCAGAAAGCAGTGTACAAGTCCCTAGTGCCTTCCGGACACCAGGGATGTGCTGGTTATTAGCATTCCCCAGGAATTATGCTCTTCAGAAACACAGGCTAGGGTTATGTTCCTCACACAGTGCAAGCCCTCAGCACTCCAAGGGGAAGAGGATGACAAGGCATTCACTTGTTCTGCATATATACGTGCTTAGGAGATAGCAGCTTAGTGCCAGGCTATTGGGGTATATATTGCTCTGTGTGTGTGTGTGCGTGCGCACACGTGTGGTTTCCTTTTTGACAGTAAGCTAAGAGCACACTTAGCTGGAATGAACAAATCCCACAGCGGAGAATCCACAGCTGTTAAGAAAGATGGCTGAGCAATGTATTCTCATCGTAGTTACCTTCCCTCTTTCTCCTGCAGATGCTTCGGTGCCAAGCACTACTGTGTTGCTAAGGAGATAGAGCAAAAAGAGAAAGGAAGGAATCATGTTTGGAGCAGGGAATTTACGTATCGCGCATCAATGTGTGACTTTCAGAAGTAGGGTATCTTATTCTAGCATAAACTGTCCTGTCTAGGAAGAGCTGGACTGGGGGAGGGATGATGGGGAAGACCATGGTGGGCCCACACACAATGTGCAGAGCCAGTCTAGAACTGGAAGAGTTGTAGAGCCAGAGGTTTGGAGCAAGGTCTTGTCTCACAGGCAGGAATAGAGACCAGCAAGCTGCTGTTTCTTAATTTGTGACGAAAGGAGTTTCCCTTGACAGCTTATCCTGTGAAGTCTCTTCCACTGCTGCCTCTAGTTCCAGAAGGAAAAAAAAGATGCCCACCGATCAATAGTTTTTTTTGACAGTGTGATTTAGCTGCAAAATTTTGTAGGGACAGTTTTACTGTTGAAAATAAATGTTTGCATCCACAAACCTTACCAAGAGATAGAACTAACCAAATTAGTCAGCAGTAGAATGCGAAGAATTAGTATCGTACCATTTTATTAGCTATAAATTAGCTAGTATGGTACCACTTTATTAGCTATAAAAATATTCTAGGGCTGAAAAATATACTAGATGCTAATACTGTGCTTATTGATGTGAAACAATGTATTGAATCCATATTTTTAACAGATCTTGCTGTGCTGTGACTCAGCATACATTTTCCTGGGTTGCATCTATAACAGAAACAATCGGAGAGGAAAAGCCGTGCTTGGGTGGTGGTCTTATGACTAGTCCTAGCCTGAAGTGCCAGCTGGTGCCTGTCTTTTTGGCAGCCACTCAAGCTGTTGTTTTGTTTTGGCAGCCCTTGTAGCCAGAGCATGCTGCTTTCTCAGTTTAGACTGACGAGAGAGATGTTGGTCCAAGGGTGTATTTTGGCACTGTAGAGCTAGAAAATTCTAGCTGTGCTGAGCCTGCTGTGTTGAAAGCCAGGTGTCCATTGTCAGATTCGTGTCTGTCTTGCTGTGCTTCATGTAGGAGCTTGGAGGAATGCAGCCTCCATCCTATTTTGAAGTCTTTCTTCTTAATTTTTGCCACTCTGAAGGTATTAACCCCCTTGTAAGCAGCTACAAATCAGTAGAGAACAGCTGACTTGAGCAGAGCTATGCTCATCCACAGAAGATGAGTATCTAGCTTTCCTTGTGAAAGTCACCTTCTTATGAAGTTTCTTTGTCTTAAAAATGCACCTCTTGATCACTCATCTCTGCAGGTAGATTGCTTGTGCAGGGGAATACTGCCAGCAGGACAGAAAAGATCCCATAACAATTTAAAATCTCTTCATTTTTATAGTTCTCTTTCTCAGCCTTTCTCTGCTTGGGGTGTTTATCCTCGGGGTGTTTGCCTTTAGATTGAGTGTTCTTTTTTTATCTTTGGTTTTTGACTCTTTTTACTGAGCAGTTCAATTTGTTCTTTTACCTTCTTTCTGAAAAATACAAAATACTCAACTACTGCTTTTTTTGGAAATACATTCAGTGCCCCTGTATGAGTTATCCAGAGTCTCACAATAAGCCAGTTGGATATTCTTCAAACCGATATTGGTGGCTCTTTTATACTCTAGATCTGTGGGGCAGTGAAAAGACATTCCAGGCAAGTCAGTTCTGGAAGTAGCTTTTCATGATGCCTTCAGAGCCTGCAAAAACAGTTTACTCCAAAGCCACAGATATGTGGGTTTTGTGTGATATTTATAATAGATGTGTTTTGCTATTAGTAAAAATAAATGAGCCAGTGTCTTACGGCTTAGGGTGGAAAGAAGGCAAGCCAAGATTTGCAGGGAGCTTGGAAACCTCCCGTTTTTTAGTGCTCAACTTGAAGCATCTAGTAGAAGTCTAATTTCTGAGTGCCTGAGTCCTGCTGCTCTGACAGTCAGGCTCCATTTTATGGTTTTGGGGTAGGCAGCGAGAACCACTGCCTGCTTGTCCTGCAGTTTGCTCTCTGGTGCCATACACATCTTTAATGACACTGTGATGGTGGGTGTGAAATGGGTTGGTGCTTTCAATCCCATTTCTAATGGGTATGAAGTCGAAAAAATATTCTTGCTTACTGGCAGTCTAGATAAAATGGGATATATATTGAATGACAGGGAAGAAAAGCATTTGCCCTCGTGAGAACTTATTCCCCTGATCACTCTGACAATATCTTGGTGGCGTAAAGTGCCTGAATTTGGGCTGCTGTTCCTGCTGCTGTGAGTGCCCTGCAGCATGTCTACTACAAGGCAGCTGCTCTAGAATAGTAATTCCTGATTAACTCTTTGTGGGGCTGCTCTTCACCTGGACTAAGTGTGTTTTATTCCGAGTATCTTAACCCACTTCCCAAGTGGATGAAGTAATTTCAGAAGAAGGCAGTCATAAGCCTTTAGAGAGGGAGTTAATCAAGAATAGATGCTTCATTTCAAATTCATGCCCTACCTTATTCTCAATTAGCTGCATGTTTAGACCAGCCCTAAAACTCAACTAGTTCTCTAGGGTTGCTGCTCTCAGTCTGTCTCATCAGCATCCATCTACATGTTAAGAACGTCAAAACATTATGTTTTCTTATGAGATGGAGAAAAAATGCTTTGTGGATAAAGAAAGAAGTTGAAAGCTGAAGTCCTGGCATTTTATTTCTGGTTTTACCACACTTCCTGTGTGATTTACAATTTCCTTGCCTTCCCTGTCTCTCCATTTTCACAAAATAGGCACAATACCTTATCTTCTGTCAACATCCTTCAGGGAGATAGCATTTGTCAACATCCACATATTAGCACCCAGATTCCCAGCAGAGAGAAAGGGAGAGATATGTAGCCTGATGGATTGTCAGCCTCCAAACTCTGAACCAGCTTTCCTTCCAGTTTGGAGTTAGAAATGAGGATTCAGCTTTCAAAACTGGCAACATACTTTGGTGCTTGTTGCAGGTACTGGGCACTTGGGAAAGCTCGTGGGTTTTTTTTAAACTGGTGTTGCTGAATACTTGAGCAAAACTGACTTGTTTTATTTTCTTATATGCACACACACACTTATACTAAATGTTTTATTTTATACTCAGATGCATAGATGAGCACTCTTCCCTGATGTTTGTTTCAGTGAAAGAAAAGGGAGGGAGAGGACGAGGGAAAGGAGAAGTCTATTTAGCTGCCAAAGAGCCAGGATAGTTGGCCATCTGTAGTCACAGAGGTCAATCACACAGGGTTTGGTGCTGATCCATGGATAATCTAAGGAGTGTCTCTAAACCTGGATATATATTTCCTCCAGTACATAAGGAGGAAGGAGCAAGAACCCTGTTTTCCCAAATCCTCTATTTATTTCATTTCCCACTTGCTTTATTTTGCAGGTGTTTTTCCAGGTCTGATCACCTCGCACTCCACATGAAGAGACACATCTAAATATCAGCCAGCTTGGTATGGATGTCATCTGAGCTAAGTGTTGTGAGATGAAAGTGGAACTCCAGTTACAACGCGCTGCCTTGCAGGAGAAGAGAACTTGATCACGTGTAATCCTCTGTACAGAGACCACACGCTCACACTGTCATGCACCCAATTATACTTCAATGCGTACATCGGTTCTTTATGCCTTGCCCCAGCTGGATTGGAGAAGATGCAGGCGAGGAAATGGTATAGAGGTGAAGTCAATGAGGAGGAACAATTGCTTACAGTACGTCGTCCCTCTTGGATTTGTTTCCTGTTTTTGCCAGTGGAAATCAAAGAAAACGGAGGAGGCTTCCCTGCAGGTGGACGGCAGTAGGAGGGGCTTATTTAACTTGCTTCTCAGTGCAACTCAATAGAATATGTCATCTTGAAGTTGCATATTTGTAGCACTAACTTTCTTTTTAAATAGGTGGGGGGAAAACAATGACCTAGAAAACCAAATCCCAGTTTGGTAGCCAAAATTAACCTCTTGGTTCATTTGTTCTTTGTCTGAGAATTCCTAATGTTCAGTGCGTCAGACTTCTCACAGACACTTTGACCTGTCTTGGTTTTGGTTCTTCTTCCTAGAACTGAGCTATTGAGATCCTTTTAAGTCAAGTCAATACCAGTGGCCTTAATGGCAGTAGACTGTGGAGTGACACTTGTGACACAAATATCCTCTTTTTGGCCTGAGTTTATGTAGACTTCACGGAGGACTGTATTTTTTTTGGTTGTTTTTATTTTAATTTTTGTTTTGGCTATTGCACAACATATGCACTAGGGACTCTGGAAGCTGCTGCCATGATGGCTAAGTGGCCAAGGGATAAACCCCTGAGAAACAGCACCTAATATCTCTGTAGGCCTCACCTTATTGCCATAGCTAGGACTTCTTGTTTATTTGTTGAACAAAAAACTTTAAAAGCTTATTTGGAAGCTTAAACATTTTTTTCTCTTTTCTCCACGAACAAGTGATCTTCAGAACTCCTTGTCTTCACCTGGATATCGGTCTGGGACTGGCCACACAGGCATGACTACAGGATTCCTTCCACGTCATGTGAGCATGTTAGCCACAACCCACAGTGACTTAGTGATGAATTATGTTGCTTTTTCTTGCTGTTCTTCTATTAACCAATTTAAAACATTAGACTTTTGTTTCTGTAAAGAGCACCTGCAGACATTTTAATTTAAAGCTAATGTTTGTTGAGCATCTTACACACAAAAAAAAAACCAAGCCAAAAATCCTACTCCAGTCTCTGAGTGGGAAGTCGAGAACCTCTTCCAAGTACAATGGCTTCATTCAGCATTAGCCTTTTAAAGAAATGATCAAAGTCCTCCTTTTCCATTCATCAAGTTGATGCTGTAGCCAACTCCTGTGTGAAAAAATGTAACAGTGTGAACGGTGAAGGAAGGGTTGGATTTTACACACAGCAGTGAGGCTTTTCCAAATGATTGGTCTAAAGTATTACTAACCTAGAGGTCCATTTTGGCCTACTGTGTGAACCGTCAAGAAGTGGAGGTCTCATGCTCACCCTTCAGCCCTATTGATAATTTGATTTTGTTGGCTCAAAGTGGATTAAAGTCTTCATTACAAAAGAAAAACAAAAAAATGTATCTTACCATAACTTGCATTTGAAAATATTTGGCACTGGCCCTGACTCCAAAGACTGCATTTAGGACCATAAAAATGGCCTATGCAAGCAGGCAGGTGGTCATTAGGTTGTATATTTTGTATATTCTGGGACCATCCCTACAAGATGTGTCTAGAAATGAAACAAAATGGCGCGTGGTCCACAAATGGTTGCTGCTCTTTTATACTGTATTGGCCAACTGCCCTTCTTTGACTGTTTTGATTCATTGACTGTTAAATATTTCCCTTAATTTATGTTTTGGGAGGTAAAACTGTAATCTTAGGGGAAAAAAGAACAAACAAGAAACTTGATAGATGTTTAAGAGCCGTCACCGGGATCCTTGGCACTTGAATTCTCAGCATTTTGCAACCTTTGGTTCCAGTGAGAGATTGAATTTACTCGAAAGATGCTGTTTTTCCTCACAGTTTTCACAAAACACTGTGACTGTCAACTGAACACTTTGGGGACAGGGGGGAAATACGATGTCTGGCCCATATGGCATGAAATATGGACCAAAATCTAACCATCTTTTAGGGACAATGATGTAACATTAGTGGTAAGAGCATGAGAGGGAGAAAGAGAGAGAGTGGAAGAAAGAAAAGAAAGGAAGACAGAGAGAAAGAGAGAGAGAACAAAAATCAAGTTTATTCCAAAGATTTAAAACTAACCGTACTCTATATGTGTATATATATATGCTTTTATATATATGTATACATTTAAAAATTGCGGAGCACTGCTTGCTGACAATCTCGTATTTCTCTACTTCTGTATTTGCATACTTTTTATGGCCATTCCACCCAGCTGTTCCACTGGGACTGAGGGCCCTAGAATCCAATTTATGTTGGAATATATAGAGCATCCTGCCAGATGTCTAATGGGAACTGAAACCTCAGCTGTGTGAAACTGTAGAGCATCCAGTCAGTGCATTAGATTAAAAAAAGGATAAGAGAATCCTAGAATTTCATTACTGTAGTGTCCTAAAGTGTGTGCTCTCAAACTCACCACTATGATATTCATTGGCTGTGAACCTGCATAAATATCCTCCTTTGACCTCTGAACACACCTGCCTTTAGCCATGCTATCAGTAGGCTACAAACCTTAATTATTAAGTGGCAGTTTAAGTACCAGAATCTATTTAAAATGGAAAAAATCAAGCAAGACTGTTTATTTAGTTCCAATTGTCATTTATGGTCTTGTTGACATCTTATTTAAATATGGCAGAACAAGGGCCCCATGGAAGAAAATGTGCTGAAATGTCTGATTATGTTGTTCTAGAGGCATGCCTGCATCTAAATCATGTGTCCAAATAGCCTAAAAAACACAGAGAAAAGGGGAATAAGAGACTTAACCAGATCTCAGATTTCTCAGGCTCTCTCTGTAGAAGGTCTTGAACTCTGACACCAAATTTTCAGCTTTGGGACTGTCTCTTCTGTTTGCAAAGGGAAATATTTTTCACCTGTATGGATGGTGTACTCAGTCAATCTCTGGACTTCAGTTTTTGGGTGCTCATATGCAAGTGTCTTAGTCATTACTAAAATTTTGAACTATAGCTGGTATTTTGTAGAAGGAGTCTCCATTTTGGAAAGGCATAATTAGTGACACATTCCAGGATTCATTTTGTACAATGGCAGGTTTTGTTTCTTCTTTCTTTAAGCTGTGCACTTCAAACTTGTGTGATCTGTTATAGCTAGATCCTTTTTGGGCCTGCGTCTTCCTTGCTAAAGTTGTAAAGATGTCCTCTGTTTGTAAACTATGAGTAGAAGCAGACTAATGAGGAAAAGCTAATCTTCTCTGTAAGGCTTCTTGGAAGTAAATCCATAAATAGATGATTTGGTGACAGTTGAGGACCAAGTTATCCAGCTGTAGAAAGGAGAAACTTAACCTTGTTTCCTTCATGTTAGATTTATGCCTATTTGCAAAAGAGAAGCCATTATAAGAAAGTCAGATTGTGATTTCCAAGGCCATGGAACAATAGCATGAGAACAAATTGAGACAAAAGTCTCACAAAATAGTGTACATAGAGGAAGCAACTAAAGCAAATGTGAGTTTTTGTGAATAGCTAAATAATACTTTGGAGCAGAGCAGTCAATCATAGAATCATGCAGGTGGGAAGAGGCCTCCAGAGGCTGTCTGGGCCAACCTCCAACTAGAGCTGGTTGCTCAGGGCCATATCCAGCTGAGTTTTAAATATCCCCAAGGATAGAAATTCTACAACTTCTCTGTGCAAACTGGTCCAATATTTGACCACCTTTATGGTAAAAAAAAAATAAATTAAAAAACTTGTGTGTCAAGTAGGAGTTTTCCATGTTCCAACTTGTTTTCATTGCTTCTTCCATTATGCACCTCCAAAAAGAGTCTGGCTTCTCTAGACCCTCTGTTAGATATTTGCAGATAGCAGTAAGATCTACCCTTACCCTTCTCTTCCTAAGGCTGAACCATGTCTCTCAGCCTCTATTCATCCATCTTGTGTTCCAGAACCTGATCTCCATGGTGGCTCCTCTGCTAGCCTCGCTCCAATATGTCAATAATTTTCTTGTAATGGGGAGACCAAAACCAGACAGAATATTTCAGATCAAGATATACTTCATATGTTACAGTGTTGATATAATTTATTTATTCTGGATTTTCCCACTATCTAATTGAGACAAGCTGTACTCCATGACAAGATTTTTCTAATCAGATTTACTGAATCTGTGTATAAAAATATGCTTATAGAAATACACTTTCTATACTGCCAGCTTGAGGCCTGGCAAGCAAAATGCAGTTTTTCCATCATAATCATTGCTGTTTTACCTTAAACTACAAAAAATACTATATCAAAGATGAAGACACATCATGCTGTATTTTAGTCACTTTTTAGACCAAAACAACACTTCAGTGCATCTTTGTTCTGTTTGGTTTTCCCCTTAGGAGATAAAGAGCAACCTAAAATATCGCATGCATTTTATAAAGAGTGGTCTAACAGAAAAGGGGATTCCAGAGTCCAGAGTATTTTTCCTTATCCCAGAGTTGTTCTTTTTCAATAGCCAGTACTCAGTCTAAGGAATTGTATTACTGGCATAAATTAGCAAATGAAGAAGAGAAAAGACGGACTGAAATGCTAGATTTTTCAATGTCTTGGACAAGGCCTTGAGCAGTCTGATCTAACTAAAATGTTTTTTAAACAGGGGGTTGAATTAGGTGACCTCCAGAGGTACCGCCTAACATTTTTTTTTCTGTGTTTCTGTGATTCATTTCAGAGCTCTCACTGATTAAATGTGTACTCGTTCTAGTTCTTCCCAGTCTTGTGCTGGCAGAACAGACTGTAGGAAAGATCTGTAGGGTTTCTCTCAAACTCTGATAGTTTCATCCTTACCAAACTTTGTAAGGTTTCTTCATGAGGGTGAATTAGAGAGGAAGAAATCTTAAAAAACCACCAAAACCCTTAGCAAACCAGTTTGAAGCAATATCATACCATGAGATGTGTCACAGCTGCAGTGACCAACCAGACACTATGGAAACAAGTTTGCTAGCCTGGAAGAGTCATGTGATGTCTCAACGAATGGTTTCCAGGACCTGAAATCTACACCAACATATATTTCTACAATGGTGAATGTTGGGGTTTTTTTCATTCATTCTTCTTTTCCTCAGACTTTTCGGAATTGTGTTTACCATTTTTTTAGGCTGGCACATTTTCACTTAATATGTGGAAAGCACTGACCAAACACAGATGGATAAGAAGAACCTGAATGCAAGAGGAGTCCCAGGTCCTTGCATTTTGACCTGTTTTAACTTCAGGAGTAAAAAGATAACTAATCACTAGGGTGTATGACTAAAATGGAGTTGATCAATATGATGGTTGCAGTGATTGAGCATATCTTATCTGTGACCTTCTGATATCTACAGAATCAGGCTTTCTCCCTCATTTTTACCTGGTCCTAGAAAATTTGGGCTTTTTAGCTGTCTTTAACACAAAGGTTGTTCCTCCTATTTAACATAGTTCATTTATCTCTGTACAAAAGAGGTCATAATTGGTGCTTTTGACAGAACTGATGAAAATCCAACTTGCTTAAGTGTTTCCTTTTCTCTGCCTGTTCCCTTAATGTTTGTCAAGATCTTTAAATTTAAAAAATAAAAAAAGAGGAAAATTTTGTAAATAATTTAATATTACTAGGCCAGCACCCAGTGGATCAAGGGCTTTTATTCTTGATTTCATTCAGGACTTGGCACATCATGTCATTCCATCCAGTACGACTGTTTTTAAGCTTTCATATCCTGGGTGACGCCTCTAACCCAACACTCTTTTATAGTACGTTTTGCTGATTTCAGATAGAATTGCACTTGCAAAGATCCCCACATACCAAGAACAAAACCCATGCTTGACAATGACTCTATTTAACTCTGTCTTGAAAAATGAAAATTATTTCCTCCCAAGATACTACAGCTACTCATTGACAAGTCTTGCCTGTCTTTCACTAGCATTAAATCTACACCTTCTTGAATGATCATTTCCAGGCCAAACTTGGATATTCTTCTTCCTTTTGTCACATTTGTGTCTCTATTAATAGTTTAGGGATGACTACTGCAGTCTTTCTCCTCCACAGCTCTACACTGGCTTCAGTGGCAAGATTTAGCATTGTGAACTGTACGATCTGGCCTACCAGGTACTAAGATCTCTCTCGTAAAGCTGAGACTTTCCTCCTCCCTTAGAGGAAGAAGTCCAAGACATACTTGTGCTATATAAGTTATATATATAATGATACAGTTGTATATATAAATTATATACATAAAAATGTGGAAATGGGGGGTAGGCTGCCTTTATCACCTCAAGAATGGGTTTCCCTACCTGAAAACTTTCAAATGCAGGCGTCATTTTTCAAACAGGGTTTTATAGTTTTCCTTAATGCTTGTTAATGGCATTTTTTGTGTAATAATTGAAGTTGGAACTCTTTGCGATTTTCAAAATGAAAGCTTTGATGATTTTTTTTAAGTGCTTTGGTCCTAACTTCTATATACTGCCAGAAAACAGGT